TGTTATATATAATATATATTTATGTATTCCTTTCATCTAGATTCTGCATAGTAGAGAAAACAGACAATATACATCTTTCCGAGCATGGCTTATTTAGCTTAACATGATGGTCTCCAGTTCCATCCACTAGCCACCAAATGACATAATGCACAGGAAAGACACCTTGGCTGATTCCATATCAAACACAGATAAGAAAGTTGAATAAAGGTTTTATATATTAATTTTATGTAAAAATTCCCAATGCTTAAAATTGTATTTAAGAGAAAAGTAAGCTTGTTTATATATGCATATTATGTGTATTTCTGCACATTTGTTTGGCGCATGAATGTAAGTATGTAGATGCATAGACCCGTATGTACACATGTGGACGTCAGAAGAAGTAGTTAGACGTCTTCCTCAAACTACTTCGTACTGCCTTTGGAGGGGATTTGTTACGGAATTCAAAGATCACAGTGTTTGCTAGGCTGGTTGGTCAATAAGCTCCTGACGTCAGCTGTTCCCTCTACCCTGATGTTTGCTTTAGAGGAGGCATGCTTAGCCATGCCCGGTTTTTTATACAGGTGTTGTCAAACTCATGCCCTCCTGCTGACAAGAGAGTGTTCTTACTCACTAGGGCTAAGTCCCTGAGCCCTCCCTATAAGTGCAATTTTTAATAATATTGATTTTTATGTTTGAGAGGATCAGTCACATTTCTGGAAGATGACTTTTAAAAGGGGTTCACAGAGGTAGACAATGAATAGCTGTTCCAGGGGGCTAGATCTAGACCAAGGTAAAGTAATTGGCCTCTGAACCAACCTACAGCATTCTGATCGCTCCACAGTGCTGACATTCTTGTCTGTTGATCTCTGTAAACGCAGCTTCTTTTCGGGAGATTTTGTTCACAGTTCTACTACAGTTTTATGCATGCTTTTTGAAATCTATTAACTTAGCAGAGTGCTGGCTTCCACCAATCCAAGAGCTCAGGTAGCATCTTAGGCCTACAGGAAAGTTTTCCTTCTTGCTGGATCACCTCTCTGGGGTACTGACCAGCATATTTTAAACTTGCCTTTATTTATGGTTTTCTTTCGTCTTGAACAACAACAACAAAAAGTCATCATTAGCCAGAATGATAGCACTAGCAGCATGGCTCTCTACTGACGTTCAGAATTTGTACTGATGTACTGATGTACAAATAGGAACACATCACAACTTATATCACAGTTCTTCTTGGTCTCTTTAAAGAACTGGGAACTTGCCAGGCGGTGGTGGCTCACGCCTTTAATCCCAGCACTCGGGAGGCAGAGGCAGGCGGATCTCTGTGAGTTCGAGACCAGCCTGGTCTACAAGAGCTAGTTCCAGGACAGGCTCCAAAACCACAGAGAAACCCTGTCTCGAAAAACCAAAAAAAAAAAAAAAAAAAGAACTGGGAACTTAATTGTCACACTTCAATCTAAGCAAATGTTCCTTAGCATGTATTTGGGTGTTGGTGGCCTTCTAACTGCCATGATGGGGAAGGCATGGCAGCAAAAGCCTGAGGTAGCTGCTTACACTGTCACAGTCAGGAACTACAGAGCAGGCTATAAAACCTCAAGGCCTACCCAGTGACTTCCTCCAGTAAGGCTGGGCCAGGTAAAGGTCACCTAACCTGGCAAACACCCTCTGCCGGTGACAAAGCATTCACACACACAAGCATGTGGGGGACATTTCACATTGCAACCAAGGCGACACTCAGAGATGGACAGTGATGGTGGGTAAGCACAATGGTCAGGAGGAGGGTTCCTGTCCTGAGCAGGACGAAGCAGGATGGTGTGAGGACTTCATCACACTCTTAAAAATGGCTCTAATTGAAAATAAACTACCTACTTGTAGAATTTTCCACGTAATGTTCTCAGTCTGCAGTTGACTTTGGGTAGCCAGAACTGTGCAAAACAGAGCTGTGGGTAAGGCAGGATGAGTGGGTAGCATTAGGTAGAGTAGACACCAGACAGATTGCCTTTGTTGTTTTCTCAGTTGTGCAGTTTGTTGATTTCTTGCTTATTGTATATCTTAAAATACCCCTCCAAAATTATACCGAATAAGGAATAATTTCAATTCAAATTTTCAAATGAAAAGATCCAGTTGAACAGTAATGTCTGAGCAACCTCCTAGAACCAAGATCAAACACCACAGGAGTCAGCTATATCTTTCTTGGAAGAAATCTCCTCTTCTACTGCTCATGGCAATGCAGATGGTTACTGTTCTATATATGGGGAGAGGAACGGGAAGCAGACCATGCCAAGGCCTGTACACTACAGAAGTACATACTAACAAAACCCAAACCAGCTAAAGAATATGGAAGGTCTCGTTAAGCCTAAGTATGAACCACACACTGTTCATACTTAGGCTTAAGACAGGGCTTCTATTAGCTAAGTACATTTAAATAAACTAAACTCGAAATTGTCAAATGCAATTGGAAATATACAAAACCCCCACACTTGTAAACAGATTAACATTAAGGACTGTGTTCCTTCCATTTTTATTCATGAGAAAGAAACTGTCTCATAAGCATGCCTGGTGTTCAGCTTGGACTCATTGTTGACTATAGAATAAGAATATTTTTCTGCATCATGTAAGCCTAATGACTAGTTATTTCCTCTGGCCACTTCTGAACTTATTTTAGTAGAGAATGTTATAGAGAGAGAGGCTTAAGGATAGACTCCTAGACTAATCAGTAAATTAAGACTGGATTAATGTCATCAGTTAAGATTTTTTTGGTCTTGATGTGGAGCTGAGCTAGCATCTCTATCCCAAAGCAGAGCAGCAGTAATGGAAAATGAGTGTTAGCGACTATCTGCTGCTGTGCTAAGACATCATGAGCAAGGTGACTTACAGAAGGGCTCATTTAAGCTTACTGTTCCAGGGTTCCAGAGTCGGGCCAGAGTTCATCGCGGCATGGAGGCAAGCATGGCTGCAGAAGCAAAAAGCTGAGAGCTGGCATGTTCCCCTTCAAACAGGAAACAGAAAAAAATGAAACCAGAAGTAGGTGAGGCTTTATGCTCTCGAAACCCACCCTAATTACATACTCCCTCCAGCAAGGCCTCACCTCTTCCACCTTCTCAGTGCTACCAAGTGCGGACCAAGTGTTCAAATACCAGAGCCACGAGGGCCCCCTCTTATTGAAAACACCACCGAATACATACTGAAAGTAAGGAACAAAAATCCACACCAGAATGTTACAGATATGACTTCCGTTCTCTCCAGAGCCCTCTGACGTACATTCTTTGTGAAAATGTCTTTTTCTTGGTTGTTTACGTTGCTCAACTCCTGTGGTTTGAATGAAATGCTATTTTAATTAAAAAAAAATTCCTAGAACTGGACTTCCATTTTCTGATCTAATTTACTACATATTGGGAATTTGCAGACCGTGACCGGCAGGTAGAAGACTGTCCCTGGCATTTCCAGCACACAATACACATATCTTATATTCACATTTTAACTTCTATTATTTCTCTACTTGATTTTGCATTATCTCCTAATAGTGTAAACCTTTTTGTGGGATAAAACAAAGCTCAGTCTAAAAACCTTCCAGAACTCTATATATTTCCAACAGGTCTTGAAAAACACCACACTTGTAGATTTAAAAATACACAAAATTTGACTTGCATTATACTTTAGTATGTTTGGGGCCCTCCTAATTTCTGCCTCTATTGTACAGGTTTCTTGAAATTAAGGTATTTATCATCTTTCAACCTTTAGTTGAACTTTTCTGAATTAAATGGAACACTGGTTCTAACCCCCAAATTTCTCCCGATGGGAAATTGTCATAAGCATGCATAGCTACTCAATAAAAATGGCTTCTATGAAACAGATACTCACAGTGATGCCAAGATGTAAGACAGAATCGGGTCTGAGAAGGTGAGCTGGAGCTGGTGAGGTTTCTCTGCACTGTCCCAACCATGGAATCGACGCTGTTTGGACTTCTTTCTCACCCCGAATTAGAGCTAGATTTCATTCTAGTAGTTTGGGGCACATTAACGGTTCCCATGGCCTTGGGGCTCTTACAGAGTATCCTTTGGGCCTTCAGTTGAAAGAGGATTCAATGAGACTTCCCCTAACACCCAAGAAACAGTGACTCTTACTTTTGCCTACCACATATGAGGTTATTAGTGAATTATCTCTCTTAAATGGAACATTAGCGTATCCTGTGGTGTACGGTTGCATTTAACTAGACTTAATTTATTATTCTAGTCCTGTACTCCGCACACTATCACACCACGTGACTTAAGTATTCGATAAGTAAATGAACCAGTAACCTCTGCACACCTGCTAAAAGGTGGGCTGATCCATTGGTTGTAATTTTTACCAGTCAAACCAGGATTTTAAGACCTATCAGTCAGATTAAAATAAAATCTCAAGGCCAAACAATATAGCCTGGGCTAATGGATAAACAAAACTAGCTTAAATATATGATTTGATATCAAAGGTCAGAATTTAGCAGACTCTGGCATAAATAAGCACTTAACTCGAGCATAAACATTAGATCACGTGCTTGGCTAGGAGCCTCGGGGCAGTAATGTCATTTACAAGAGTAGCTGAGGCAAATGTATTGCAAGTTGAAAGGCTGACTGATCAATTTAGTGGGAGGATTATTCGGGGTTGGGGGAAGAATAAAAGAAGAAAGCCCGGGGGTGCAGCTCTGTGGTAGCATGCTTGCCCAGCCTGTGAGGGTCCTGGTTCCACAAGTACCTGGCAAAGGGCTGTTTGAGAGCTTTGGGTTCACACGCAGAACCCATCCGCACTGCGATGAACGTCAGCCCCCTTTCGGGAAACTGCTCAAAATGTCCACCATAAATGCCCACAAACGGGTTCTCTCCCAGTACCACAGTGGAAGCTCGCAATGGGCAGTTTGTTTCCAGCGCCAAGGGACCCGGAAACCAGAAGGCGAGATTGACACGAGCCTCGCCCAATGGCAGAGCAAGCAAAGGCGGGCCTTCGCGTGCACGTCCAATCGGTTAGCTCCTTGGAAGGCCAGGGCGGAAGCGGCCGCCATGGAGCCGCTCGTGCATCATGTAGAGCGCTTCTCCGAGGTGCTGGCCGTGTCGTGTGGGCCGCTGGTTCGCTCCTGGGATGCAACGACCGTGCGTAGGGCGCTGCAGTGGGCGCGCTATCTGCTCCACGTGTACCGACGCTTCGCGGGCCGCGGCCGCGCGCGGGAGGCGCTAGAGAGGCGGATCCAGTCGCTGGGCGGGCCGCCCGGGCTGCGCAGCTTCGCGGCGCTGGAGTTCGGGGACGCGCGCCTTGCCCTGCGCCTGCTGCGGAACCGCGCGCTCGCGCCCGCCGCCGCCCACGCGCTGCCGAGCCTGCTCTTCCCCGGGCCCGGCGCGGACAACGAGGACGACGCGCCGCAGTCGCGCCTGGCGCTCATGGCGCGCCGCGGGAGCGCGCTGCACCTGCTGCTCCGCCTCGGCGGGGACGCGCCCCGGGGCGCGCTGCTGCGCACGCACGCGGAGCTGCTATGCGCGCGCCTGCACGAACTGGGCGGTGCTGCGCCGGCGGCCGGGCGCGAGCTTCTGGAGATGCTGTGGGCCCGGGGGCCTCGGGAGCACGTGCTGTACGTGGTGGGCGAGGCGGTGCTGCGCGATGTAGACCCGCAGCCCGCTCACGCCGCAGACTCTGCGGGTGCGAAAGAGACACAGGAACTGCTGCGGTGGCTTCTGGACAGCCCCGAGGTCTTGACCGCTTTCTGCCGGCAGCTGCCCGCCGTGCGCCTGGCCTCCTTGGCCGGCCGCCACCCCACGCTGTCTCGCGCCTACCTGAGCCTGCTCACAGCCTGGGCCACGCAGCTGCACTACGACCTGCAGAAAGGCTCCTGGGTCTCCACGCAGCCTAAGGACATGCCCTGGGAGGAGTTGTGCCTCCGGCTGCAGAGCTTGTGCCAGGCCCCACCACCCCTGCAGGAAGAGGTACTGGAGACTGTGCGCACCAACAAGGCGCTGGATGGAGACTTCGAGGTTCCCGGGATGAGCATCTGGACGGACCTGCTGCTGGCCCTACCTGGTGGTGCTTAACTGAGTGTGGGAACATGTGAGGTTCTTAAGTCCCAGGCCGAGAAGGACAGACCCTTCTCAGGGAGGGATGGAGGAAACAGCAGACAACTCAGCCAAGCCTCCACACTCTAGTGTCCCGCCACTACTTGACTATATATACAGTTTACAAAAATGTCAGCGTTCTCACCAATGCCCTGTGCTACAGTATGGTCCCCAAACCTAAGTATTTAGGTGCCAATTTTAAGTGGTTCGTAACACAAGCACAAATATTCTTTGAGTTTTCTAGATTCCGGAAATAGTGTTATTTCCCTTACCATGGTGGTTCCAAGATCTTGGCCATGTTGGGCAAGTGCTTCACCACTGAGCTACATACCTTCCCTTGGAAGAATTCTTAAAGCCATGGAATTTTCAGCTTGTTTTGTATAAAGCTAACTTATAAGAATACTAAAAAAAAGATACACCTTTTAAAGGAAAAATGATTGACTTTTCTTGTTTGCTGACTCTTTACTGGTGAAAAGCTTTGTTTAACCAGAAACACGAGGTAGAATCAAAATGTTAGTTTCAAAGCTGCCTAGCTATAATCAAAGTCTAGATGTGCCTTCCTTAACTTGTTTGCCAGCCTTAATGTGCATCAAAGCTTTGTGTTCAGAAAGTTTTGTCCCTCGTTTGTACAAGTCACTACTCAGAAATCAAAATAACAGCGAACTATAGCATTTCTTGAGTACACACATAGTGTTTAGAGCACAGTAAGTATAATGTATCCTTTTGGGGATTTCGATTGGATGGTAAAGAAATCAAACTAGTAAGTTAATGGCATTTGTGTCATTAATCAGGTTGAGTTGGCTCTTTTTCCTCGTGGTTGCTGGATGGAGACTATTTGGAGTGTTTGTGACTAAGAACCCTACTTACATCTTCTGGATTCTGACAGGATTAGTTTGTGTATTTACACAGGAGTGACAACTCAGCCACACTTGTTATATTTTCAGCACTTTGGGACATTTTCCTACTCTTTTTTTCCTGGTCACTCTCAGCAGGTAAACACGTTCCTTTTTCTCCTGGACCCTTGGCAGCATTTATTAATTTTTATGAAGCTAGTCAGTATCTGAGTTCTATTTTGATGTTTTAGGGTCTCTGTTGCTGAAGTTAGCCTGGAACTCACTATCTGCCCATGCTAGACCACAGTATTCTCCTGCATCAGCCTCCTAAATGCTGAATGTGAACCAATACATATAGCTGAATTCTGTGTTTCCATGGTTTTGATATTTTAATACTGTTGCATCTCACTCCTAGCTTATTTTCTGTTTTATTTTTGTTTGTTACAGGAGGAAACTAAGTTTCATATAATAAAGGACATCTTGATTCTCTCACAGTTTTATCACTTCCATTTCAGATGATTTTGTGGGGTCCAAGGTTGTGTTTCCATTTACTTATTGGCTTTTGTTTATTTATTTTGATTTTAGGATTCTTTTGGGAAACACCTCATGGTGTTAAACATTTTAATGTGTATTTACAAATGCATGACTGACTCCTGTTGAAAGGTGGTTTTGCTGTCACATGATTTTTAGTTAACCTTCAGTGTGTTATTCATCTCTCTTTCCTTGTTGGTAAAGGGAAGCCTTGGGCTTCCCACAGGTCAGGGAACCCTGATTGCTCTTCGAGCTGATGAGGGAGGAGGACTTGATGGGGGAGGGGGAGGGAAATGGGAGGCGGTGGCGGGGAGGAGGCAGAAACCCTTAAATAAATAAATTTTAAAAAAAAAAAGAAGGGAAGCAATCTTCAGGCTGCAGTTTCTTAGTAAGTGAACTTCTTTCTATTTTAATGTGATCCTTGGTTTAACATCTGCATCCCCAGCACTTCCTCCATGTTCCTATTGTTCCTAATCTGTCCTCTGACTGGTTGGGCCTATACTAAGTTTAAGCTACCCATACCCTAATGCTATTTCCTGGCTGTCTCCTTGTCATTTTGCTGCTGGGGAAACTGCTGGTATCATGTGACCCATTCGCTGGTACTGATATCCTGCCCCAGATTTTAACCTGCAAATGACTACCGAGCCTTGGGAAAATTTTTTCAAAATTCCACTGCAGTTACACTGGCTTGGGGCACCTTGTGAACAAGTAGAAGTAGGATCTACATCATATTTTCCCTCTTAGTGGGCTGACATCAGTGTGCTGCGGTGAATTACCTGGGACCAGGACTGGAGAGGGGTCACCTGCCTAGCCACTAAATATGCCTCCCTTTTTATTCAAATGATTGTTTAGGGATGTGGGTATTTATTTATGTTATAACAATGCCAGTGCTTCTAAGGCCGTGGTAATTCAAGGCCTGCCTGGCATGTAACATATCTTACATGTTTTTGTTTTTGTTTTTTTAATTCCAGGATTAGTTTCTAGCATTTTTTTTTATTTCAGATCTACCTTATTTTTAAATAAATATGTATGTGTGTCTGTATGTGGATGTTTGCGTGTGAGTACAGATGCCCTTAGAGGCCGGAATGGAGAGTCCTGTCACCTAGAGCTGGAATTGTAGGTAGTTGGGAACTGTCCAGTGTGGGTCCTCTGCAAGAGCAGCAAATGCTCTCAAGCACTGAGCCATCAGCCACTCATTTTTTATGGTCTGCATTTCGCTTCAGAGTCTGAAGTTTCTTCAGATGAGATCAAACCTCACTGCATTGATGGGACTCGTTTCTTTGTGTGCTTTGTTTTGACTTTGTTGTTGTTGTTCGTCTTTTGAGTTGAATTTCTTGGGGTGTCCATCTTGGTTGTCTACTTGATTGGATCTGTAATCAGCTAAGAGACAGGCCTCTAAAGACGTCTGAAAGGTATCCCCTGGGAAGATTAACTCGGGGAGAAGGCCCACACATACACCCAGTATCCTTCCAACCGCGCAGGTATTTGGAGATCAGAAGGAAACGCGGTTGCTTTGGGCTGCCTGCCTTGACCCTTGCTCGTGGGTGTATACACTCTCCACGTGTCTCACCAGACCACATGCTCAGTGGGAACAAGCCAACTTCTGACTCGTTTCTCCTGGAGCAGCCTGAGTTTCTGGGCTGCAACTGACACTCTTACGTAACTGATTACTATGCTTGCGCGAATGGAAATGGAGCAAAAAATTGTGCCAGTACCGTCACCAGAGTCATCTATCTAAAAGGTATAACCCATTGTAGAAGTGATTTAAGTAGAATAAATCGGAATAATCAAGTCCCAATACATTGCGACTTTGTCAGATTCCAACCCAGCAGTCTTAAACACTTCCCAGAGTTACTTTACTGCTTCAGAGTTGAATCTGTGTTCATCCATGCCCTGACTATTTCTGAGGATAGCCTGGGCTACATAGTGCATTCAGGCCAGTCAGAGATGAGTCCCAGGCCAGTCGGAGCTACTTATGAAATCCAGGCTGAGCCATAGTATAAGATCCATGACCTCCCCTCAAAAAGGATTTTGTTGCTATGGATGAATTTTCAAGTTTACTCTTCCCCTCTGTCATATTTTGACTCTGACGTTGTATGCCAAAGTTCAAAAGTAGGACAGGTTATAAACATAATGACCCCTCTGCTAAAAATTTAGCATGTATAAGATATTCATTATTGATACAAGTTAATTGATGTAAACAGTCTAAGAAGCAACCATTGATTTTTCTCAAGATTTAATTGGAAATGATCAATTACTCTATCAGAAGCATGGCAGCACCTCATTTATCAGATGCTTATTGTCCTAGTGGGCTATGACTGCCCTTTTGACTTAGTAATGTCGTGGCCCTAAGGGAAGGAGCTTAAATCATTACAGTGATGCCTGGCTCCATCTGTCTCTGAGAGCTTCCTTCCTCTTCATACTGCATTTAGGTTTTGAGTTAAAAGGAGCTTGCCGTGTGTAAAGTCCCATTGTGGTTGGGACACTGTCTTTTTACAGTGAGCATTCTGGATCACACCCTGTAACAAGTTCCATAGGCAGTTACTGTCAGGTCCAAAGGAAACTCCAATTCCCCAAACTCCCAAAGGCAGTCCAAATATCCAGATTCAAAGATGGGAACTGGTTTTGTGCATTCCTATGGAATGCTGGCTTTACTCTACCCACTGAAAATGTTCCTGTGATCCAGGTTGGGTTCGTTTCTGGATAGATAGAACTTTGGCGTTTAGGGAATTGGGGTTTCCTTTGGACCTGACTGTGATCATGGGGTTCTGGCATGAAAACTGAGTTTACATTTTATGTTTATGTATGCTACAAAGGCACTCTCAAGCTCTGAAGGCCATCTGTGGTAACCTCTAGATCCTAGGTTTAATTTGAAATTAAAAAGGCAACTTGTTCCAAAGGCAAATTCTTGTCTGTGGTTATCACAATATTCTTTATGACCCTTTACTTCTACATTCAAGTAGCAATTTTTTACTCATCTGGTAAGCACTGTTGCCACTCTGTTGTTGAGATTTAATGTGCTACAAATTATTAAAATCTAATTTCCATAATAAACTATTTTTGTGTTTTAAAGTGATCTTGCTGAGTTGCCCAGACCTTGATCTCAGGGTTTCTTGGCTCTGTCTCCATAGCAGTGGAGATTACAGACTGTGTTGTGCCGTCATGCCTTGCTTATGATTTATATATATTTATATTATGAGCCAAAGGCTCGTATTTTTAAAGACTATTGAGAAAGTAGAATGTAAAGAACACGTTTGTTTTAGGTAAATACTGGGTCTGTTCACTCGTGCGTCAGCTCAAAGCTCTCAGACAGTTGCTGAAATGTTCATTACTGTGCTGAGCTTTCGACATGATATCAATAACTTCAGTACAATATTCTGTGCGAGGCTATGCATATACTTAGAATATTGACACAGTGCCCTCAGGGATATAAGCATGTGTGCTGTTAGCTCTCAGCGATTGTAGAAGTAACCATGGGAGAACATGGCCAGATTTCTTTGCAAGTCTCAGACATATTCAGTACCATAAAAATTTCTGATGTCAACTTTGAAATTGACCTCACCAGTGTCCCCAGTCAGATTATGTGGGACACTGAACAAAAACCAAGACAAGTAGAGGAAAAAGGTTTGTTTATAGGGAGAAGATGGGCTGACAGGGATGGAAGAGAAGTCGGGGGGAGGGTGTAGAATCCACAGTGCACATTTATGAAATTGTAAAAGAACACAATCTACCCAAAGTGATAACTGTATTTGTATCTACAACTAAACTTTAAACAGCCTTCAATGTAATAGCAATTAAACATTTTAAAAGTAAATCCTTGAAGTTTATTAGTTGTTTTATCTTCTCTTCTAAATGTAAAGAGATCTCATAATTTGGAATACTTTTGGCAGGAGAAAGTTCTCCATTTTCTGTTGTACAAAGAAACACAGAAAATGCAAAATAATGTTAGCAGTATTTTAGACAAATACTCGGTATTTTCCTGAGCAGAAGCAACATTGAGTGGGAGAAGGGCTCAGGAAAATATGTGTTTATTTCCTTCTGGTCTGTTTCCCCATAAATTCAAAAGCATGGGTTTCTGACAGGGCCAGTTTGGGGTTGCTGTTGGAGCAGAAAATAAATGGCGAGTGACTAATAAGCAATTTACAGCAGATACATGGCATAGTCCCTGGTCAGCAGAGGAAGGCCGCATATGGGGTAGCTATAGTAACCAAACCCATCGAGCCCTGCCACCATGTTCTAATTATAGCCAGGAAGCCCTGAAACCTGTGCGGCACAAATTGGCCCCTGTAGATTCCAAATGACTTCATTGTTGTCACAGACATTAGCTAAGGAAGAGTATTTGAAGAATTTATATTATAACCGGATTCTTCAAACGGAATATTACCATGGCTGTCACAGAATTAGAATTCACTGACATTTTTTTTCAAGAATCTATTTTTATGTTTCAGGAACTAAAGGGCAGGAAGGAAGCAAAGCGGAGAGTAGTTTTAAAACTTATTAAATGGCTTTAACACCAGTTTTTACCTATGACACGATTTCTAGAAAAACATAAACAGTTCTCGAAGTTTCCTTCTCGTTCTCATGCTCTGTAGAACCATGTCATTCTTTAACAGAGCAAGGAAACATGGCTATTGAACGCCTCCTTTGAACGCTTTCTAGAATGTGGCTTTTAGTGGCATATTACATTAGTGGTGCTCCATCTGACAGTGCATTGCTACTGAGCCAGAGACAGGACTTGAGACATAGCCTGTTTTCTTGCCTTTAAACACTCTGTGATATTTTCTTCTTTTCCTGGTTTCTCATGAAAACTGTCATTTGCACTGGTTTTTCTTCACGTAAAATGCAGTTCCTGCTGCTCCACTTTTTTCTTTGACTATCTTTCGCGGAATGTCAATGCTATGTCTTTTGGGATGGATAGTTCTATGGAATTTTGTCCTATTTAGTTACACTTCATATTTTACAT